ACCCAAGCATAAGGGATGCCCACCTTATGAAGAGTTGCCTGTGAATATGTCAGAGTTTGTGGAAGTGTTATCGGAAAAGATGGATGATATTCACAATGAAGTGCGTTCAAACTTGAAAACGTCTGCTGATTCGATGAAGTTAACTTATGATAAGAGATCTACTGTAGTCAGGTTTACACCTGGAGACAAGGTATGGTTGTATAATCCCAGGAAGACCAAAGGGAAGTCTCCTAAGTTGTCTTCTCCATGTGAAGGCCCATATGACATAGTGGATCGTGTCTCAGACGTGACTTTCCGGGTAAAATGTGGTCGGCGAGGTAAGCCAAAAGTGGCGCATGCCAACAGGCTTTGGCGTTATCACAGTCCAGGACATTTCAGTTGGGACGTAGTGGGCAACAGAACAAATGACGCTGCTACCTGAAGAAGCCACCATCGAAGAAGAAACTCTACTCAGTTTTGAGAAGAGTCAAAAGAGTGAAGCTCTTGATGAAGCTACTACCACTGATGTGACTGTTATCAACGATAGAACATTTCCTGATGAAGCAGATGAACCCCATATGAAGCAGAAGCCAACGAGATGGAGACCAGTACGGAAGAAGATACGTCCCGTAAAATTAAGAGACTTTGTTGAATTGTAATTTTGTGTTTGTAATTCTGTACATTTAATTAAGTTATTGTTAATTGTTATTGGTTTAATGTAAGTGGCTATTGTTCGGGACGAACAATACTAAGGAGGGAGCAGTGTTGCGTCAGCGAGGTCACGTGATTAGTATCACGCCACCCGTTTTCTAGAAATATCCTGTTCCTTAAAGAATGCCCTAGCATTTACTAGATATGTGTTAGTCTTGTATATATATAAGATGGTCATAACGTGACGGGACAACATTGTAGGAGTGAGTAATTGAACTGCAGTCAGAGAGTGTGTAATTGAACTCGAGCACGTGAGACGTTCGTTGAGAATTATAGCGCGACTGTTGAAATTAAGTGTATCGTAAAGTTGTATTCGGAAAGAATAAACCAGTTTTATTTAAGAAAGAATTTGTGTCGCTAAAGTTTCGTCGGAACGAAGTTACGGAAAATCAATTAACGAACGGAGACGTAACAATATAAATGAATTGAAGAAATAGAGTTGTTTAAACATTTGTTTAACAAAAAGTTAAAAGCTTGGAGTGTTTTATTCTTTCATTGGGGTGTGTGGCTGTGAGCAAGACTAGTTTCGAAAAATTCTGGACACTACCACCAATGAAATATCACAACAACAACAACATATGCATTATTTCATTCCAATCCTGGGGGACTGGCAGGCCGGTAGAGGGTTATGCCCTCTCGTCAGCCAAACTACGAAAAAAGAAAAATGGTGAAAATGAATAACAGAAAGATAAGTGTGCAAGTCAGCATAGGAGGCGGATAATGGCGAAAACGCGATATTTGCAGATGGAGGAGACAAACTGAAGAAATATGGGTGAACACTAATCAGTCTATATCACATAATGGAGATAGTGTGGGAACTGGCAACGGGTAATGCGAGTATTAGGAATCAGGATAGATAAATGGGGAAAGAGGGAACATCAGTATCTGGACGTGGTGCCAAAATGCCTCTTGGAGTGTGTAAAGTGGTGGCGAGAACATCGGAGAAGATGAGACTGTGGTGACGAAAACATTTATTTACATAGCAAGTGCGAAGCTGTCGAAGGTGTAACAGAATGTGAGGAAAGTTGATACGGCAATAAAGGTCGGAATTGGGACTAGGGAGTTTGACGCCAAAGCCAAGCCAGAGGGCATGGTGCTCCAAAACCTGGAGACGAGAGTAGAAGGTCATAGAAGCAGATATCCAGGTTCTATGTCCATAAGTTAAGCAGAGTTTGATAAATATATTGTACGTGTATAGTAGAAGTGGGGGGTTTAGGCCCCAGAAAGTATCAGTGAGAGAATGGAGGAGATGAAGACAATGAGAAATCTCAGCAGAAAGGGTAGATAGGTAGGGCTTCCAAGTAAGATGCCTACCAAAGACAATGCCAAGTTAGGTCACAGAGTTGGAAAGGGGGATTGGGACATTGTCGACCCGGACATCAAACAGAGATGGGTCACGGCAAGAGCAAAACTTACGTCGTGTTGGACCAAAAAGAATATCTCGTGTCTTAGGTACATTGAGGGATATACACCAGCAGCGACACCAAGACAAAAAGAATTTACAGC